ATCACTTTGTTTCCAGATTTTTATATTGATTATATTGTGTATGACGATGAACTTTGTACAAGTCTGAAATTAAGTTTCTGTTCTATTCTGTTAACCTGACTTTTATTAAGTCAGGAACTTTGTTTCGAAATCTTCTTTATAAATATATCCGAATCTCTTCAATACGAGAAAAAATGTCATAATTATGGCGGCTACATGTGCCCAAGTTGAAAACTAAAAATCTTTTATCAAGTAAAGGGAAAATACTATAATACTGAATAAATCCACAAGGAAACCCCAAGGTGCATAAGTACACATGCTGAACAACATTCCTGTAAACTTTCAGGTCTACAGGTCATAAACTTTTTGAGTTACGTGTAACACAAGTTAAATACATCTTTACTAAGTCAAGGGCAATAACTCTAAAATACTAAAAATATCCACACAAAAATACCCAGGTGCACAACTATACATTCTGAGCAACATTTCTGTAAGAGTTCATGACTCTAGATCAAATACTTTTTAGTTACGTGCGACCCAAGTTGAATAAAAGGTAAAAGGTAAAGGTCTTGTTTATTATAGTGTCACCTCTACTGAAAGGGCCAGCCATTTTGACTTATGAGACACCTTTTGGTTGCATACCATGTACCTCCCAATTCCTACCACTATGCCAGGCGCCAGGCGATAGAAATCGGTAACCATTCATTTTAACTACCTCGCGGCTCACGAAGCGGCCATTTCGGAACGAGTCCCACGAGAAACATTCATCCTTCAATTAACGCTCCCCGTGGGGCTCGAACCTTCGACCTCCCGATCCGAAGGCGGACGCCTTAACCACTAGGCCAACGGTACCGGTTGAATATTGCAATTTTTTACCCAATTTAAGGGCAGTAACTCTAAAAATACTAAATATATCCTCACAAAAATACCCAGGTGCACAACTTCACATGCTAATCAACATTCCTGAAAGGTTTCATGACTCTAGAACAACTATTTTTTGAGTTACGTGCAACACAAGTTGAAAATTTGAAATTGTTACTAAGTCAAGGGCAAAAACTCTGAAAATACTAAATATATCCACACAAAAATACACAGGTGCATAGCTACACATGCTGATCAACATTCCAGTAAGGTTTCATGACTGTATGTTAAATATTTTTTCAGTTACGTGCGACACAAGTTGAAAATTGAAAATTTTTAATAATTCAAGGACAATAACTCTAAAAATACTAAATATATCCACATGTAAATACCCAGGTGCACAACTATACATGGTACACATGGTGATCAACATTCTGGTAAGGTTTCATGACTCTAGGTCAATTACTTTTTGAGCTACGTGCGACACAAGTTGAAAATTGCAAAGTTTTACTAAGTCAAGGGCAATAATAAAACATTAAATATATCCACATGAAAATACCAAGGTGCACAACTTGACATGCTGATCAACATTTCTGTAAGGTTTCATGACTCTAGGTCAATTACTTTTTGAGCTACGTGCGACACAAAAATGGAACGGAAGGACGGACGGAAGGTCAGATGGACGGACGAATGGACGGACGGACGGACAAGGGTAAATCTAAATCCCCCCCCCATAGTGGGGGCACAAAAAAGTAAATGTCAAAGACCTCTATCAATTTATTGAGCCGACAAGAAAGAGGATAACGGACAGGGGACAATCAAAGTGCCATACCATATTTATTGATTTATATTTCATTTTTACGAAATAATATTTCGTTCTAAAGAATAAACATTTCGTAATAGTAATAACGAAAAGATATTTCGTCAAAACGAATTAATATTTCGTTATTACGAATTAATATTTCGTAATAACTAATTAATATTTCGTAAAAACGAATCATTATTTCGTAAAAACGAATTAATATTTCGTAATTATGAATTAATATTTCTTTATTATGAATTAATATTTCGTAAATACAAACTAACATTTAGTAAAAACAAATTAAGTCCCAAGAAAAAAGTGTGGAAGATGTCACCTTAAGGATTCCTTTGATTTACGTGTCCATATTCACTTTAATTCTTTTATATTGCAATAAAAATGCGAAATATTTATTATAATGATAATAATAATAATAATAATTGAAGAACATGACAACCCATTACCGGTATATCATAATGGTACGACCAATTTATGTTAAAGTCATCGTCTGTTCGACTTATGCGAATGCATACCAGAATTAATTCGTGCATGCGCACAGGCAATCGAAACATCATGTTATTAAACTTTCAAAAAAATAGTTGTTTAGTCTGGAGTTCCTTCCCCTTTCGCTACGCAAAGAGTCAGGCATACGCTGTTTAATGGCGAACGTGATGAACTATTCAAAATAACAGCAATTTCTAACATTACTGATCATCCGGTAATAAAAGTCACTGTGTATAGGTATATACATGCTCAATAATTTGAAAACTTCAAATTGTCTGAACGAGATTCTACTCGGTGTGTTTTGAGATAATTTAAACTTGCATAGTAATCGGACGTTAATACGTACTGTGCAATTTCGGACATAAGTTATTGTTGAGAGTGGGCGTGGGGTTTAGAAGTTGTAATTCACCGATAATGTTTCATACTCCATATAAATTCTTATCATTTGATTGATTATTGCCTTTTTCAAATGTGTTTTGTCACTGTATTTGTGGCAGGTTTTGATTATATCTATTTGATTTTGAGATCGATAGACCCCTCAAGCCTCGCTATACATGTATGATTATTAACCACACTAGACTGAATAGCGTTTAAAGTCTGAATTAAATCCAGGGATGTTTCTAATATATAATTATCTTTAATTTTTTATTCTTATATACATATTGTGTCCAAATGAGGATTATTATCAATTATTTTTTAATTTATGTATGTTTATGACAGTTAAATCCCTGCATGGGATAGCTGTTTAGACATGACTGAGCTATTTAAGTTTAATTTGTTTTATTTTATTTTTATTGAAACCCATCAAGATTTAAGTTTATGAGGGGTGCCGGGATCCCTCTAAGTATAACACCCTCCTTTCATGCCACTGGAGGTGACAATCTTCTGGCACAGTGTGCACATTCTTTCTTAAGTTAAGATCACCGCTTGAGTCAACTTCAGGTTTTAGGCCTATTTGGTATAATACCAATCGTAACAACTCGGCAATCTCCGTCAAGTTCGGAGATTGACCTCGTATGTAAGTGTAGGAATACACCAAATTGATATGTAGATAAGGTTAATTTACTGCCTATCTATTTACTCATTCTATATTTACAAACACAGTTGTAATCACTGTAGTGAATAACTAACGGTACATTTTCATTCATTCAGGCATAATCACATGACATCATTTTCATTCGTCATTATAAGAATTATGGGTAATGTCTTGTTCTTGTTGTGAGTTACTTTGCTCAGTGAACTGTCTCTTGTTATGTTCTTGTTATGTCCTGTGTTGTTAAGTGATGTCCAATAAATATCTTGTTAAGTAAGAATGTGATTGGATGAGAGTGATTTCATATCATTTTATGCATTGGCAATTTACATTCCTTTTCTAAGAAATCATTTTCAAACTTTACATTGTAGAGTTAACTTGGAGTAGTTCTTCATAGAACATTTTGAATATTATATTTATATAAGTCAACTTTACGTTTGTTCTTTATAGAACGGATTTGATATTTTTTTATATAACAGAGGTCAGCAAGTTGCACCTGGTAAGATAGGTTTTACTTTAAATTACTTAAAATAAATGTAATGAAATGTATGAATTAAATAATTGAAATTGTTTAAAATATGAAATGTTGAAATGATATTGATATTGATATTGAATTTGTATTTTATTTTTAATTTGTGTTTTGTATTTCATGTATTTATAATTGTTTATTCATTTTATAGGTTTCATTTACACATCATCAAAATAAATATTGAACACCCAGTCAGAGTTGGTCATGAATTTTACCCAAACCATTCTAATACTTGTTAGATGCCGGGAACCAGAATAATAGTTGTTGTGCATTACACGGGAAATGCAGCAGGATTTTCACATCTATCCGGCCGTGCAAACAAACTTTTACCGGAACGTTATAGCTTCACGTCACATGTTTAACCGTTCACAATTATACAGTTATCAACGAACAAAGGAAGATATAATTCTGAAATATGTATGCGCACAGGCAATATCGAAACGTCATGTTATAAAAGGGAGACACAGGCAAAATTTTCATTGCTTAGTTTTGAAATTTCCATTCATTATTCTGTAAATGTCCTCAAAATGAATACACTAAACAGTCAAAGGAACAAAACTTTTCTCCATATAAAGCTAAAATGGTGTTTTCCTAACTTGACCCGCGTGGGTCAGGTTAGAGCGCTAAGATTTCACAATAGTTGTCACTCTGTACTCTGGAAACGTTAAAAAACATGTCAAATCAATTACTTACACTTGTTTCAATCATGCAATATCCACAATATTTGTTATTGTAACTTCCAGGGTTTGTTCAAATCGCATGACTTGTTTTTAAACTATTCGGTTATTCTGTTCGCGTCAAAATTTCGTTCAACATATTTATATATATTTAAACTTCAAACCCAAAATATATAGAATATATACAGAAATTCATGTTTGGACTTTAAGAAATGTCATTTTAGGGTGATTTAAGTACAGAAAATCATTTTTATATTTTTGCCATTATTTTGCCTGAGTATCCCTTTAAACTTTCAAAAAATTATTTGTTGTGCATTGCACGAGAAATGCAGCACAATTTTCACATCTATCCGGGTGTGCAAATTCTTTCGTTATAGCTTCAAGTCACATGCATTGTTTTAAGTTAACAATAGAGTAATCAACGAATGAAGGAAAATGTAAGGAAAATAATTTTCCCCGAGTTGCTATTTAAGCTGTCTTTGTTAGTTTCTGTCGATGTATCATGCAAACAGACATTGTACAAAAGGAGGTTGTTGCAGACATCTACTCTTTTAATATCTAGAAAAAAACACATTTTAATAGTATGGACACCACAATAAGAACTAGAGAAGTTTGGAAATCCATTTTATTTACGTAATGCAGAAAAGATATTCCATTTGTCCGACTTTTGTCATAATAGCATTGAAATATTTACCATCTTTACTGGGTTTTTTACATGACTAGAAAATAAAACCTACACACGTGACTTAACTCAATAGGATTGTATTTAATCTTTCGAAAGAAATATTAATCTTTGGAGAACTAAAAGTTAATCTGCATATTGACATAATTAATTTCATTCTCATTCTAATGAAATAATATATTTTCAAACCAAAATCTTAAAAAATAAATATCAACGTTTGAATTATTTAAGACAATTCTATACAGTAGATAACAAATAGAATATCTAAAGATGAATTTAAAGCGCATAAGACAAAATGGAATATCCTACATAAGAATTATCGAGTAAATCAAAAATAAAATATTGCTAAAAACCATACTTATAAAGAAAATTAATTTGATTGTATGAATCACTATTCAAAAAGGCGAAATGGGAGAGTGTGCGTGTGTGTGTGTTCACTATGTTCACTTGAATGATTGTTTTTCATATACAAAAATAACATAATAAATGAGAAAAAAGGAAAATAAAAAAATGCAGCTTTACATATTGAGAATGCTCAAATTTGATATTTGAAATGTAAAAAAAAAACATCTTTTGAATACACATATACAAAAATGTTATGTTTTACAACTCTAAACACTTTAGGAAAACACAGTATAATTAAATAGTGTCATTAAATACGAATTATTAGAATAGACCAAATTAATTTGGCAATTAATAAGGAAAGCCGCCTCCTAAACATAGTTGATATATTCACTTATTCAAATCAGACATATTGAAGAATTTATGAGATTTTAAAAAATTCTCCAATAAAAATATTTTAGCCAAAGATGACCATAGTATATCTTTAAATAATTTCCAATTTATCACTATTGTCATCTGCGATGTTGTATGTTGTCTTGGTGTAACTGATATCCCATTCTACAGTAAAAGTTGTGTCTGTAACTTTTGTTACAGTTCCTGGAAATGTATAAGCCTGAAAATAAAATAAAAAAATGTTCTAGGTTTATCAAAGTTATAACAGTGCCATTTACGTTGAATACTGTAAACAAAAACAACAGAAACACACAATTGCAATATTGTTCTAAGTCTTTCACATAACTACGTACTCCTGATATAAGGCGAAACAGTTTACGAGTGACCACAAATTTAAATTGAATTAAACTTCAGTTCTATGTAGATCTACATTTAAAAATATTATTTTTCTAGAATTTTGATTAACTTATTAAATTATTACTAAACAAGCTTCGTTGATAAACTGTTTTTATTCGCATATGTATTTTAAAACTTAAATATTTACCATTTTTTTAGTTTTCCTAGGATGACGAACACGAGTTCCAACACAAAACTTCTGTTTTGTTGTTTCTGTAAGGTAATAAATACACCAGAACATTAGTTAAAGTAAAGGCAATGACATTGAATCGACACTTGTGCAGGCGCCGAAAACATGTATTACTAGCATATAGGATTATCGATCTTAGAAAAACTATATAATGATATATCTGTATCAATAAAATAAGACAAAGTTTTGTTATTACAATCAACAATTAATTCCTACTGCAGTTATACGACAGATACACGATACCCGCTTGAAACTTTGTAAATCTTTTTTAGACTTATAAAGACCATCTTAAATTTAAAAAAGGACATAAAATAAAGAAACTTGTCGCTTCCACGCAAGCAACATTACTTACATGTACTTAAGTTTTTAAACCAGACTTATTTTAATCAAATTTATTCACTGATCTATTTTTTTCAAAATTCATTTCTCAAATTTTAAACATACAGTAGAATGAAAACAACATAATAGAATAAATTTAAACTCTGTATAATCTTAGATTGTGATTACAGAAACATTTTAAGCGAAAACATTCTGGGGTCACCGACCTCACTATCTGAAGAAAAGGATTTTCATGTTATTTTATGTGCAAATATCTTATAATACAATATTCTTAAAATCATATTTTACCACCGTTTTTTTGTGTTTTCTTTTGTTTTGTTTTGTTTGTTTTTTCTTCTTCTTTTTTTGCTTGGTTATAAAACAAAAGTTTATGGAATTCCATTACGTATATCTGTTCCATTCAGTGCTAGTTCGGAGACTAAAAAGTCTCTAAAATATAAATTACATATTTAAAGGAATTGGCAGAAGAAATGATATACAAATAACTCATTTTAGTTTTAATCTATATAATCACTCGATAAGAAGTCAGCTACAAAAAATTTAGGAAAATAGAAGCTAGTGCTAATATTAATAATGTATTATCTGCCCTCGAAAAAAGCATAATTTTCAAATTATAGGACAGAAAACTCGAAAATCATTTATTTTGTAATGATATACATGTATTTAGATCAGGCATATCTTTTGCCTAATAAACCTTTGAGTGTTATCATTTTGCTATATGTCTATATGAAACCCTAGCATACGCATTGATGTGAACTTTTACTAAATTCTGTATTTTAGATTATAAAGACAGTTGCTACAGTTATCATACATGTATAGACAGATAGACAGCATGTTCGTAGCATAAACCTCAAATACAATAACAGAAACAATTTAAACAAAAGATGAGCATTGACGTTCTCGTTTTAAGTTGTGTGCTCTTCAATGTGAATAAGGTCATTTTCAAGGCTCTACTTAGGTGATCAGTAGAAAAAAAAAACAGAACTTGCTTATCATGATTCGGAATTATCTGCCGTAAATAATCAAATTAAAGGGCAGATAATTTAAAGTGTTTAGAAAAGGCAAACATGTTTTTCTTTAAAAGTTCAATTAATGATTAAGAGCATGTTAAATACTCATTTTCCTGAAGAACTAGGCCCTGAATGAATAAGTATTTATCACAAAACTTGACAAACGTAGACAAATGTAAACAAAGTAGTTTGTTGGCTTTTATACAAAATACTAAATCACTGTAACTGTATTATTGCAAAAAAAGGAACAGTACCAAAACATAGTTCAGGTAATAAGGAAGAAAAATATAACAGGTAAACCTAAAAATAGATAAGTTAAGGGGTATACAAGTATAGGCAATCCTGGGTTAATAATGGGCCTTTAAAAACGCGTACACCAACCACCATATTTTGCTTAAAATATTTCTGTTTACATATCCTAAGATTCTATGAAAGACTTTTATTGTATGCAAACTGTATGAACTGTCTTTAACTGTTTAGGAATTTCATCCCCTTAACTAAGAATGCTTACCTTTTGTCCTACATTCGATCTGACAAAACTGCAGGCTTCCTACAGGTCGTTCAGATTCCTGGAGCGCCAACATTTGATCATTACAAACAAACTTGAACCCTTTCAACGTCATGTCTTTTGTTGATTGTTCGTACTTCTTTTCTATATCAGCTAGTTTAGACTTGCAATTAACTGCATTGATGAATAATGCATTATCACGATACAGCTGTGTGTCAAGCATCTGTTTCACTTCCTGAAGTTCTGACGTAAACGACTGTAATACTGCCTCAATCTTTGTCTGCGTTTCTGTGTTTTCCTTTTTCAGTTTCTTCATTTCTGATAACAGCCTAGCCTCTGCTTTATCCAAACATTTATTTATCTCAGTTCTGAATTCACGGAGTCCTTTCAGTGCGTTTTCATTCATGTTTTCGCATTCGTATTTACCCTTTTCAATTTCTTGTTCACAAACTGTTTTCTGCTTCTCAAGGTCTTCTAGTCGTTTCACAATGCTTTTGTATGTGTCTCCGTCTTTGAAGGATTTCGCCAAATCATTGATATATTCTGGTTTACATGATGTATGTCCTAGTACTATACAATCTCCACACCCAGCGATATCATGTGATCGGCAATAAAATTTGATGATTTCATTGTCGTGCTTTTCACATCTGGTAACATCTTCTAGTCCACTACATAATGAAAGTGACGAAAACTCGTCAAGCGAAAGAAACACGTGATTTCTACATAGTTTGACCCTTAGATGATACCGGAAACACGTGGTACACATTTTCTCGTTGCATTCCCGGCATGCTCCACATGCTGGCGTTTTCACATTTTCAACTTCACATGATACACATAAACTAGACTCTCCTTCAGCAGACTCTGTGTCAATGTCCAGCCTTTTGCCAGCTACTTCCATTTTAAGAAATCGATTCGATCAATATTCTGATATTCTGTAATGTAAACATGAAACGCGAATATAAATTTAATCCTATTTCAAGGGATCAATCTTTTAACATTGTCATAAATTTTGTGATTTTACAATTTATTTCTTACTGTTGAATTTCATACATCTCAGGCCACCGTAACCGAGTCGTCAACGTCATTCCTTTTAAACCACTTGCAATGTACCACTGTGAGTTCGAATCCCGTCCGGGAATCAGGATTTTGCCATGTGAGGACCTTAGTCATATAACGTGCATTCGACTTCATTCACTTTAGTTTATTTAGTTAAATGCAGATTAAAAGAGACAAAGCGTAAAAAGAACTAGCCATACCAATATGTTTTAATTTTCCTACGCTTTTGCTTTTTTCACTTTAGCATGATAGATCATTCAAATTTATTTATACGACTAAAATGCATAAACGTCCAGCACAGTATTTAATATCGAAATACAGGTTTAACTGTTCAGGTAAATGGTGTTTATTAGAGAGAATTCAAATCCAACATAACATTGATAACAAAATTTAGTTTAGTAGTAATTTATTAGATGTATTGTGTGTGTGTGTGTGGGGGGGGGGGCGTAATTTATGCTTGATTTAAACGCTTGAATGGCGTTATATGCGTGTATTTGGATAAACTTGACATCATATACTCAACATCACTAAACTCACGACAGTGAAGTATTGTTATGCAGTCAATGTTACCACTATAGTTTACCTTTATTTTCATTCACATAAAACGCAAAATCTGCCTGTGTGTCTTAGTGATATTGATCTTTGAAACAATCACTCAAAATACTGTTAAACTTGTCTGTGCCTGAGAATATCATCAGAGTTTTATTGATTTTGTTTGTAAAAATAGTTTTGTGTGAATATATAACAACGGCTATAACGTGAAATACTTTAAAACTTGTCCTGACGATCAAGGATCGATGAGTTTAAGTACTACCTAATGTTTAAAAATGAGAGCATGATATACATGTATATGGTCCATTAAAATTGCATTTAAGTGAATATGTTTTTGATCCCTTGCGCATTATGACAGTATCCTGAAATAGACCATGGGTCTAAACCAGAAGTATAAATAAGGTGAATTCCATTTCTTTTATTTTATACAAACTGCACTCCTGAAATATACAGATGGGTCATATGCAGTGGATTAACTACAAACCTCTATCAGCCCAACTTCCGGTTTCGGTTTTCACCGGATACAACGTGTACTATAAACTGTTATGCGAAAATGTAAGAATGAAAGAAAGGAGAAATCTTCAAAACGAAAAAAAAAGTCATTCAAACAGGAAATTGTTAAACTTTAAACTTGATCAGAAATATGTGTACTAACAATATGAATTGGCGAAGTAATTTAACAGTCTCTTCAGTGTATAGTTTATATAAATATATACATGTACATAATCGTGCTAGGATTTTAGAAAAGCAGGCAATATACCCGTACATGTATAAAATAGAACAATTAATTATCTTGTACGATGTTTCTTTTTTAAATGTTACTTTGGATTTCATCTGATTGATGCTGTTCCATGACTTTAGTAGTAATTAATGTGCAGTACATGTGTATGTTCTTGCAATAAAGAAACATAATGCAGCCATTCTCCTATAATTGAAGCACGTTTTAACTATTCCTGTCTCCACTTTTAAAATCGTACTAAAATGTACAGACGAGCTTTTGTGACAAACATGTTCTCAGCAGCTTAAGCGTGGATGCTCCTCGTTTTTCATTTGTGTTAAACTGAAAAGCATTAGTAACTGCAAAAAATCGCTGTCGCTTGACCAATTAAAGTTTATGATTGATGAAAAAAAATCAATGTCCATGTTTTCAACATGTTTTTGCCTAACATTGCCTATTATATAGGAAAAAAGCATTCATAAATGCTATGTTTGAATATGATTTTTAATGTAAATTGTATCATTAGGTCACATACATTATCTTAAAGTTTTAGAATTACAAATTATCATTAAAAAAAGTAATATTAATAATGATATTAATATAATAATGATAAAAATGAAAATTATTATGATAATTGTTAAAATCATGATAAAAAATAATAATTTTAATGATGTTCGTGTATCAAGGTTAATAGGTTTTATAATATGCAACGATTTTTTTTTTATTTCAGAATGGTGCTTTTAAATGCAGAAATACAAAAGACAAAAGCAAATAGGGGAAAACAACAAATCATTTAAAAGAGAAAGAAAGCAGAAAAAAAGTATGTTCCCACTCAGAAAAGAAAGAGCACTGGTGAAGAAAATGTAGAGAGAACTACATGAAACATTATAACAATACAACAAATTTGTGTGAATTAGGCAGAAATAAAGCAAATAAAAGTGGGAAAAATTTTTTGTTCATTTTCAGTGAAAACCATAATATTTTATTTTCCATAACATATGTTCCGTAACAGATATCTTTTCCTGCACTACTCACTAAATTAAACTGTTGATGTTATATTTAATTGATAAAGTGTATATTTGTGAAAAAAATGTTGGAGTTATGGAGTTCATATTAAGAGGAGTGCTGAAAAATGAGCGGCAAGTTGCATACCTTTACTTAATATGTATGTATCATGTTTTTATTTTTTGTGGGAAATGAAGGTAATTGAATTTAAATCATAACCGAAATATGAAAACATGTTTCAAATGAAAACTACTGCATTTTACATGGTTTTGAAAGGTAGGAGGGCTGTAGAGTTGGTGTGTGGGAGGGGGGGGCGTTGGAAGTGACTAATCAACGCGCCGAACACCTATGGTTAATAAATGTTCCGTAACAATGTAATTCATTAAAGATCCTGTATGTTTTGTAATTGAGATTGTGTATATATGTATGTATGTAGTTTAAGCTTAATGAGGGTCCATTGTGTACCACTCTTCATTGAATTATATATATGTATGTAATTATGCAAATTTGTCAATTTTCAAACATGGAAGAATATGTAAAATATGTATTGCAAATATTTGTACATATTTAAGGTCATCATAAAATTATATGCATTCATTTCTTATTGGAAAAAATGACTTAGAATTTATAGAAAACTAAATTCTAATTACCTCCCTTTATTTACATGAAATATTAAATTCGGTAATATCTTTATAAATAATGTTTTTTGAAACTTACAATATCGATAAATTTTAATTTGAGCATCATAATTTGTATATAAAACCATAAAAATAATGTGTTACAGGATCTTTAACTAACTTTAAAAGCTTTCAGTATACAAACAGAGCGAATGGTGTGTGTTAAACAACAACACAATATGTCAAAGGTATTGATCATTAAATGCAAATCATAGAAAACGTTGTTTATTAAACTCAGATTTTTCATTTTTTGTGAACCAAAAATGCTTCAATTATGGAAGAATGCAAAATGATGTTGTCATTATGATGATTTTATACAATGTTAATACCAACATCACTTTCCATGTACTTTTATTCCATGCTCCATGTAACATAATAATCGCTAATATGATTCACAAAATTAATTTTATCTTTACTGGGCATATTAGAACAATACATGTAGTTATTAGAAAACTGTTTTACAGTTCTGTGTTTGGTCATTGTCGCCATTATTCATTTAATCAAATGTATGTGTCACACTGATTTTAGAAAAACAAACCTTTTTGAACAAGAAGCCAAGCAAGTGTATAATTGTGAAAGTAATGGCATTAATAGTACTGTCAGTCTGAATATTTACAACAGATGCTTGCAATTGTAACTGTAACTTATTTTGATAATACATTATATTATTCATAATATTTTCAACGAAATATGTTATGGTCATAGTTAACTTCTTTTCACTAGAGTTTTTATCTCTCTGGCCGACAATAATCATTTATTTACAGATTTAGGGACACAATGAGCCTGGAAATATGGGATCTATCTAAAGACTGCATCAATTCAGTATTTTGACGCTGACACATTAGATTTGTATTGCTTTTTTCATAGGAAGCGTGACACTTACATAATATTTTTGTAAGTAGACATTGTTATTAAAAATGAAAACTAGTCTAGTGATCTGCTATATATAATCTATAAGCAAACAAAAGGAATAACTAAAACAAACAAACAACAACAAAAGAACATTAATTTATTTCAAAGAAAGCAAAGCACTTATATGAATGAAACATTTAATGCATGTGTATTTTATTTAAACTGACTTAATGCTGTGAGAAATTTTCGCGACCATATCATTGTATGTTATAATAATTCTGTCAAATTGAAAGGTGTAAAGTGTACCGCTGGTATATGTGTTTTCATGTTCTAGTTTATAAAGATAAAGATAGAAAAAAATTAGACAGTGTTAAGGCAGCATATTAAATAAATCGTACTAATATTACCTACACGCGTCTGTAATATTTTGTGTAACAATACATCTACATGAATGTCTTGTACATCTTTGTTTCCGTTGGGCCTCTGATATCACTTCTGCTGGGCAGCAAGAATTCATTTTAGCACAAATAACTTATCCATTCTATTAAAGAGGTTTATTTAGAACAATTAGCAAAATATGTGATGCTGGAAAACATTGATAGAATTAGACCAAGTAAGTCAAATACTCGCTTAAAGAGAATTCCAACAAAGAATGAATGACAAAATGACGAATACAACAAAATGGTATATATGTATATAAAACATCGAAACTATGATTAAGATATAAAATCACAGCCTCCTGTTACTATTTTGCCAATACACTATGACTCGCTTTGCGGCTATAATTTTGTATTTAACAAGCAATTATCGGGATTTAAATAAAAAATGTACGTACTGATAACATCAGTGTATGTTTTATCACTGTTTTGAACCGAGTGTATTAATCTTAACGCCAGTCAAACTAATAGAACAATCAGCAATAACCCGTTACCTTTTTATACTGTTTACGTTTTTATAACGGAACCCATGTGGGTTTCGCGTGAAGAAAATGTATTATGATGATGTCAACAAATTCTATATATGTTTCAGTAATAGTTCAAGAAGACATTAAAACACTTAACATCACACAAATGACTTTTAGATTTGCAAATTTTGACGACTTTTTTCAGGTCTATCAACGATAATATCTTTGTCTATGAAGATATATATTTTTAGTAAATCTCTAGAGCATGATTAATGTGACTGGATTGACTTCAATGGAATATAATCAATGAGAAAATGTCAAATCATTTTCATCTTAACACCATGGCATCGTCGAAGTATATGAGTTTAACACTCTGTAATTGGAATTTGGCATGAAGGCTGTTCTATCATTATTAATCACGAACGTATACAATAACCTTCACCTCAACTTAGTTTTATAAGAAAAGTGTCGCACATAAAAGTAGCTGTTTTTGTTTACAGTATACCGCTTCAGACTCAGTGTTCAGAAGATGTAAAACCAATGGATTGCGAATCCGTCTAATTCTTTTCGAATGTAAAAGAAAGTAATACTCTGTGCTTTATCGTTGCATTTTGGTACTTATTTTAATAT